GGGGGGGATTTGGGAGGTCTAGGTGAAATTTGGGGGGTCTCAGGGGGGATTGGGGGTGTTTTTTGGGGTCTCATCACCCACCACTTCCAGGAAGAAGTCGACGTGTGGCCGTTTGTGCACGAAGAACCTCACGGGGTGTTTGTCGATCACCACCTGGGGGGGGGAACCAAAGGGGTTAGCCCCCCAAACCCCCCTCCTGCACCCCCAAACCCCCCCAAATTCCCCCCCCAGCCCCCCCAAATCCCCCCCAAACCTTGAGGATGAAGTCGGGGGGGGTCCCGGGGCGCACAGTGGGTCTCAGGACCCCGTCGTGGTGGGAGTGGATCAGGGTCTCATCCAGGTCCAGCACCAGGATCTTCCTCTTCACCTGGTCTGGGGGGGGCCAGGGGGGGTCAGGGGGATCCCCAAAAAACCCCCAACCCCAATTCTGGGGGTTCCCCAATTTTCTGTCCCACCCAAAACCTCAAAAATCCCCCAAATTTGAGGGGTTTTCCTCCATCTTTCTCCCTCCCCCAAAAGTCTGGGGGCTTCCCCTCCCCCCCCCCCCCCAAAATTTAGGGGTTCACCCACCCCACCCCCAACATGGGGGTCCCCCAAAATCCCTCCCCAGCAATTTCAGGGGGTCCTCAAACCCCCACACCTCAATTTTGGGGTGTCCCCAATTCCCTCATCTCATTTAAAACACCAAAAAGCTCAAAACTCCCCCAAATTTGGGTTTTTTTTTTTCCTTCATCCCCTCCCAATTTGGTTTTTTTTTTCCCAGTTTTGGGGCATCCCCCAACCCCCCAAAATTTGGGGGGGGGGGTCCCCAAACTCTCTCCCCAATTTTGGGGGGGTCCCCAAAACCTCCTTCCCTCTCCCAATCCCTCAAATCCCCCCCAATTTGGGTTCTTCCCCCCCCCTTCCCAGTTTTGGGGTCCCTCCCCCAGTTTTGGGGTCCCTCCCCCAGTTTGGGGGTCACTGGGGGGTCCCCAAACTCCCTCCCCAATTTTGGGGGGGGTCCCCAAAACCTCCCAACCCCTCCCAACCTCCCAAATCCCCCCCGATTTGGGCTCTTCCCCCCCCTTCCTTCCCAGTTTTGGGGTCCCTCCCCCAGTTTGGGGGTCACTGGGGAGGGTACCCAAAATCCCTCCCCAATTTTGGGGGGGGGG